AAGCTGCTTGATAAGAGTGGATAATAAGGAGATTACACACGCACTAGCTTGTTTGGAGTTAACCATTCAAATGTTTGGTGTTGTATGGAGAATTTATGTAAACACAAAACCTCGCAGAATTCGGGGTTATGAGAACAGGTTGACATTTCGTCAACAAATCTTGTTGAATTTACCGTTTATCCTTGTCTATCTTATTGTCAGTCTGTATAATTCCTTGGTTACCGGAGTTTTAAATAATTACGAAGCAACAGGTATTTGCGCAATGTTAATTAGCCAGATTACTTTGAAAAACATTGCTGCCGTATTTCTGATATAGTTTTTTGCAAATTTCTCAGTTTTTAATAACAATTAATTTATTTTACTATTTTTTCTGTACTCCTATAACAGCGCCAGACAACACCTCCATAGAAATGACGCCAATTTTGAATCACCCTGTATGGGCCGCGTATACAAAAATAATTTCAATTTTTTCTTGTACAGTTAATGCGCCAATATCAAAAATTATAGTAGCTTATTTAAATCAAATTGAAATAGTGGTTCTAACTCAGAACGAAATTAATAAATATCCAAGTCAACAATTTGCTCAATGCGAATTTTCAAACTATTAATACTATACTTTTAATAAAAAAATAGATGTTTTGTTGATTTGGAGGTACATATTTGATTTTTATCATCAAACAATTTTCGGACCGAATATTCTCTGACATTAATAGATGCTACTGGTCACACTAAAATTTTCAGCGTTTCAATTAAATAATAGACAGTTTAGCAGATCTAAAGCAAGAAAAAATGTTAATTGATTAATTGCAGCGCCACCTGTCAAAATAGAAGAAAACATTTTGGATAGATTATTCTCAGTTTTTGACGTACTATTTGAATCTCCAATAAAATGTTCTGGTTACCATTTAAAATTCTTAAGTTGGCCCCTGTCTAGCATACAAGGTCGAAGTAGGCGCTGTTTTTCTGACACGAATAAACTTCCCCTTCCCAGATATTAACTTCTTATTTGAAACGTTTTTTCCTCGGATCACTCGTATCCGAAATATTTAAGCGTTTCGAGATAAAAAAAAAACCACCCTGTATATTAAATCAACTTAGGCAATTATCCGTTTTAGTGTCTATACAAATATAATATTTTTATTACAGGGTGATTCACAACCTTACGAACACAGAGCAGAGGCGTGTAGAGGACCTCAAAGCAAGTTTCTATTTAAGTTTTTTTTCGGGCCCATGGTTAACGAGATACAGTACGGGTGTTAAAGTTTTACAAAAATGTTGGTATTTTCTTAAAAAAAAATGTTTGGTATTTTCGCCACTCCTACAGTTTATGAGGTATATTATTCAAATTTTTAACGTAGGTTAATGTTTAGACCCTTCAGCCGTAGGTAAGGCGACTGGTTGTGAAAAAAATTAATTTCATAATAAATTGAAATATTTGTTACATTTTTGTGTATTTTTATTTGGATTAGCTTACAGCCGATAAACCTCAATTATTGTAAATTAAATTAATGTAAAAAAAAGTGAATTGTAATTTAACTCGTCAGCCATCCCTATATTAACTTAAACTTGCACTTGAACCTTTCACAGAAACTTGTGAACAAAAAGACACAAAAAAAATCATAGAAATTTACCCAGAAACCCTACATGGACTTATATTTATGCAAATAACTCCAAACCAAAGACAGACAGAAAAAAACTACAAGAGATCAGTAAATTATGAAATTGAACAACAAATGCAAAAAGTGCACCACAAAAAAGTTCGGAGGGGTAAAAGGGGGTATGCCTCTAGAAAAAAGAACACTCTGTAGAGGGTCTAAACTTTACCGTAAGTTAAAAATTCCTGCAAAACATGTCATAAACTGTAGGAGTTAAAGCAAAAATACCAAAATTTTTTCGAAACTTTAACACCCTGTATCTTGTTAACCATGGGCCTGAGACAAAAAAATTAAATAGAAACTCTATTTGTTTTGAGGTCCTCTACACGCCCCTGCTCTGTGTCCATAAGGTTGTGAATCACCCTTCAGTTTGGCTACCTAATTTTGAGACACCCTGTATAGGACAAGAAAGTGAGTACCTAAGTACGATTTAAAAAAACTGATTTTTTACATGGTTTTTATTGCAATTTATGTACGCTTCATGCACCCATATGCTACAAAATGAGTACTTTAAAATGTTATCTGAAGAGTTAGCTTGGCCTTTCAGCTAACTACCTACCAAATTTGGGACCTCAATTTAGAACCGTTCCTTAGATAAAATCGGTAATGGCATTTTTTTTCTTAGATAATTGACATATGTATCAAAAGCTATAAGAGATAAGTCAGTTAATAAGACTAGGGTGGCCCAAACTTGCAATAGAAAGGCCAATCCAACCATTTCAAAAAAAATTCCAAATGTCTTTATTATGCTCTTTTCATGGGTTCGAAAACAACATTTAGTGAATAATATAATTGATAATTTTGCAAATTCCCCTTTATGAAATAGCTATTAGTTGTTAATTAACCATTCACAATATCGTCGCTTTTGTTGTCCTTTACGAACTGGTCCTCTTCTTCCAATTCGGTTCCTAATTCGTTTAATTCGGGATTGACACCACAATATACTCCGTAAGCGATATCATTGCTTGTTTCATCTTCACAAAATAAAATTTCGTTACTATCAGAATCCTGGGAAGATTGTCCATCCGGAAAAGATATAACGGCGGAACTGGATGTATTACTTAGATCCCTGCTCGGCCCACTTTTTATTGAATACTTTGTTGAATCGGTGGACGTTCTCATGCTGGAAAACACGCTGGGGGAACATGGAAAGTAACTCACGTTTACCGTCTGCGAGTGGAGTGTTTTTGATTTTCTCGGGTTTTCGTGATTCTCGTCCGTTTCACAACATAAACACTTCTCAAACGCCTCCAGCTCTTCGCATAAAACAATAGATGTACTTTCGGGATTTAGATCTTTGACGCATGCTTTCCCGGATTGTCGGAAGTGTTTGTAGCACCAGGTCATGACGCACATGAGGAGAAGCACTTTTGAAACCACAGTCACCGCAAAAATCGCTATCAATATTGCCGTGATGCGAATCCGAGACCTGTTGACGCAATTCCAGTCTCCTATTTGCACGTTACAGAGATGGTGCTGAGCAACACCTGGCTCATACATGCCTGAAAAAAACCAGTTCAAGCGGAACTAAAAGCTAATAAGTAAAACAGTGTATCTATTAATACATGAACACAAGGAAACGGTTAATCCAATCAAACATATACACTTGCGTGCATAGAAATCGGCCCACAGAAAACTTTTGACTTTAACTATTTTTTTTGATTATTCATCAGATCAAAAAAAATATGTTGTGAGTATCCTATGTTTAACATAGTGAAATTAAGGCATTGAACAAATTAAGCTTTTTTATTATTAATAAAAATAGGGTTATTGACAATATAAAACTTAACACTTAATTTTTTTTAATAATGGGTATGACCTCCTCTTTCCCTAATAACTTCTCCTCATACGATTAGGCATAGATCTAATCAAGTTTGCTATTGTTTCTTGAGGGATGTTAAATCATCTCTTCTTCCACTGCGACAGTAAGCTCTGGGATTGAGTTTGGGGTATAAAATCTAGCTCGAATTCTTCGTTGTAGCTCATCCCATAAGTGTTCGATCAAATTTAGGTAAGGACTGTATGCTGGCCACTCCATAACCCAAAAACCGACTTCTGCAATGTAATCTTGCACGATTCTTGCGATGTGCGGCCTGGCATTGTCATGCATAAAGGTAAATTCGTCTCCAATGAAGTCGATGTAAGGTACCACATTAATTGCTAACATCTCCTCGATATATCTAACAGCCGCTAAACTTCTTCTTCCGTGAACCCGGTCGCCCCTACGAATGAACTCAGGGTCGGTTTGTGCTCCTATAGAAATTGCACCCCAGATCATTCAGGAACCACCTCCATAAGGACTCCGCTTTTCATATCAATCGCTCTCTTGGTATTCGGAACACTTTCCTTCTTCGGTCGCTACCACGGAGGCATATTCTGGCCTCATCTGAGAACAGAACAGACCCCCATTGTTCCAACGTCCAATTCAGATGATCCCGTGCAAAACGTAGGCGTGCTTGTCGATGAGCTGGAGTAAGTTTTGGACCAATCGCAGGTGTTTTAGGGGTCATGTTATTTTCCTGCCGTCTTCGTCTTACTGTCCACTGACTAATAGCCAGTCCTCCCACCTCACGGAGCTGTCGTTGCACTTGAACGGCATTAAGGTGACGATTTGGTAATATTGTTGACACAATAAAGGGGTCATCACGAACGATTGTAAATTGCCTTCTGCCTGTTCGAGGTCGCCTATGAGAGGATCCAGTCTCCTCATAACGTTTGCACACTCTTCGAACCGCTGCGCGTATCATATCCAATTGTCTAGCAACAGCTCGCTGACTAAATCCTGTGACCCATTCTACCGTTTATACGATGGTAAGATGATATGAAAGTGTTTCTATTGGTTGGAGATCTGTCAGTTCGTACGACGGCGGACGAATTGACAAATCTCAAACTAATAGAAACTCTTTCGTATCATCGTACCATCCGATAAACGGATGCATGAGGCACGAGCTTTATTCCATTTTCGATTAAAGCAATAACTTGGCCGGCTTGATGTGGTGTAGTATGCATTAAACTAACACACTTAAACACTATTGATATTATGAAAAACGAATTAATATGCAAATTTCAAGAGCAAACGCAATAATTTTAATATTTGACATTTTTTTATTTTCGTTACAATCACCACATAAAATAAAATGTGAGCAATAAAAAACCTGCAGAATAAATGTTGATGGTAGACAACAATTAAAATATTTCTTTATTAATGCGCCACCCCCTCCCCCTCAAGAAACCCCTAGATTTGCCACTGGGGAAAATAAATATGAAACGCGTTATTTATTGTAATGACGTCAAACTTTTAATAAGTTTGTTCCTTTTTAACAAAATTTAAGCTGCTTCATTACGCAAGTGTTTTTTGCTTTGTTTTCTAAATATTTATCTTTCCTCATCTAAACATAATTATTTAATGATTATTAATTTAATTAATATTTATATGAGTAATTTCTCACAACCATCGATAATTACATCTTGCTGCGTTTTACTTCCATATTTATTTTTTATAATAGTTAAGGTTGTATTTCAATAGAAAACTAATACCAGGTCAGGCTTGGACGTAATTAATTGCTTCTATCAAAACAATACGTTATATTGTAAGTTATAATTAAAGACCGGATTTTAAGCATTTTGCTTATTGCTGAATTTTATAAGCAACCATTAGATTATTTAATTTCTAAACGAATTATACCAAACTAAGTATATTGCGATAGCTTTTATTATGCTTTTTTTGCTTTTTTAAAGTTTTCATGCTTTTTTGTCCGGTCGTGCTTATTTTGACTTTTTTCCGCATATTTAAATAATTTTAATAATAGTACAAAATATTATACGGGAATAAATGTCCATATAAAGTAAATTTGGCAACTTTGCAAGGCGTCGCGTGATTCCCCGAAAAATCCGTTCGCACGTAGGTAATTCCCCAAAGTTTAGCCTTGGGCTATGGCAAGACTTTTGTTATTTATTTAGTTAGT